GCATTTTTTTAAAAAATATATATTGGTAATTTTTATACTGATTCAAGATTCTATTGCAATTCTTATTTAAATAAAGACTTAATGCTGCAAAAATAATAAATATGTTTCTATCTTTTGTAGCTTACATAAATGTCTTAGCTTCCATAAATGAAGATTGAAATGATATATTATCATTAGAATTAGATCTTCAAGTCCCTTTTAGTAATTTTTAATTAATATTAGGATTATGTAATTTAAACCAAAGGAGACCACCTACTACTAGATTTGAAGGATATTGAATGGCATTGAAGACAATGTTAGATACTTAATTTGTTAATATTACTTTCAATAGTTTGATTTTTTTTATGATGTTTTTAGATACAAGTGGTTGTCCATCAATTACTTCTATTGGAGCTTGTTGGATCTAGTTGATTTCATGCAATAGTCTCATATCTAATGACTTATTTTTTTACAATATAAATACAAATTTCAATAATATATTATGTATATATATATATATATATATATATATATATCAATTATATTATATGAATTAAATTGTATCAATTTGTATAGATTTTGGCCTCGTTGAATAAGTTTTTGAAAATTTGGACTGGTTTTCATGACTTGATTTATCCTTCTTCAAATAAATCTTTGTTCTTGGTGCCTTTTAAAGAATTGATTCTCTCTTGCAATGGCTTATAAGAATAAATTGTTCTAATAAGTTTTTTTTTTTAATTAATGATAATGAATCTTTGATATCATCTTTTATCTCATATCTACATTGATTAATAAAGATTTTTTTTTTTAATTCCAATCCATGTTGCAAGCAAGGTTTTGAAATTTGGCAACATAAATAGTAGTGAATTGTGACCCTTTTTGTAAAAATTGGAGTTTTGTTTTTGTTATCATATTTCAATTTATTTTTCTAAATATGGCCATAAACACTTCTAAGAATTAATTTAGATCATATAAGAATTATGAATCCTTTAACATTAAAGATATCAACAAAAAAATAATTATAAATAAGTCTACTTCTAAAAATCTAATTCAAATAAATCTATTAAAATATTTAGAAGAATGTAATCTTAATAGAACTTGACTTATTGTAAAAATCTATAAAATTTTATTTTTGTTCCATCAAACTTCTTTGACATACTAATCTTTGTCTCCTATATAATCATAGTAATAAGAAATTTTGGATTTACTTATGAAATTGGTCTACTTGCTTCTATTAACTTCATACCTTTTTAGCATAAAAATTAGATTTTATTGTTGAAATCCTCTATAGGTATAAGAATAGTACTTCTATGATTGACATTGATAATATGTAAAATATTTTTTCTTAGAATGTTACAAATTTTGTAGGGATCTACAATAACTACAAATCTATTTTCACTTCTATTAAGTACAACATTTATAATTTATTTTCCTTCTATCTCTAAAATAACCAAATTTAAAATATTTATAAATCAAATTAAAAGAAGGTAATCCACAACCTCCAATATTAAATGCAAATATCTACAAAGAAAAATAATCTACTTTATTTATAAAAAAAATTAATGTTAGAAAAAAAAATACTTTAGTATAAAATTAAACAGTCTACAATCTTTAAAATACAAAATACAAAAAAAAAATGGAATAATCTACTCACTTTTGAAACAAAAATAATATAGCAAATTAAGACTTTTGATATACTATCAACTACATAAATTGCAATAAAATTCTAAAAATTATAATATATTCTTACATTATCAAAAGAAAAAAAAAAAAGATAACTAAAAGATAGAAATAAAATTAAAAGTAGAAATACTATTATTAAATGCAAAAAGACTACAAAGTCTTGAATTAAGATAGATCTTAAGAAATATATTAAGAATAAAGAAGATATCATTCTTGTCTCTATATATACTATTTTTGAGATAACTATATGAAAATATCATATTGGCCATAAATTACATGTCAAACTTATGAGACATGTATCTAATTTGTGGAGCAAGTTTCCAATGTATATACTATATGGCTAACTTGCTGACCAAATTGTTCAACTAACAATCACTTCTAAAGACATAAAAAATCTATAAAGTTTCTAAAAAGCTTTTTAATAAGATAACAATAATTTTAGATGCTACTACTTACTTTTATCTAGTTCTACTTATCCAAATGAATATATTAGTGAATATGACTATCTATTATATATGTAGATATCAAATTTCTTTCATATAATTTTATATATTATTTAAAGAATACATATTTGGCATCAATAATAAAATTATTAAATAATAGCAATGTAAGTTCATGCAATTCCAAAGATCCCTTTATATTGGCTATTTAAGAATACATTGTAATCAAAAGTTTCATTTGCTTGTATTTTTGTACTAAGAACTTATTTAATCCTTAAAAAGTATAAAGAATAATATTTGATTCTTGTAGATAGCTTTAATTTCAAAATAAAAAGATCCACTACATCAATAATTATGCACATGCATGTTATTTATTTATTTATTTTAGATATTCTTTCATGACAACCTAATAAAGCTTAAACTATTTAGTAACTACTTCCATAGATAATCATCAAGTCGTAGCCACATTTAGATATATAATTTTATTTGAAAGACAAAAAGTTGCAACTACTAAAATATTCAATTTAAATAATCAAGTTATTTAAGAATTACTTGTCTTGAGCATTAATAAAAGAGCATTACATGACCAAATCTAGCTAATATATATTGCATTAAATTTGAATGATTCTAAGCAAAGTAATGTGTTATATTTTTGTAGCAACATCTTTGATTTATTTATTATATTCAAGGTAATTATCTTGCAAAATGATGTTTGTACAACAAATAGCAAAGATACAAGAACAAAGACACAAAATCATAAATTCTCTTTTTTATTTTGCTATTTAAGAAGGCATGGTGTTAAGATTTGTCTAAATTAAATGGCATAGGCTAGTAAAGTTATACTCTTTATAAACCAATCATTTGATCAATTACACAAAATGTCACATTTTCACTAAGAACACACAAAATGGCAATAAAATGTACTACCAAAGAAAAGAAAAATCCATATAATATAGTATTAGATAACAAAAATTAAAAAGATAAAGATAAAAAATAAAAAAGAATGTAAATGAAAGATGAAAATGGTGAAGATAACTACGTTTTTTCAACGTACTCTCATTTTTGGATGAAAATTAGACTATATTTTCTTTGTTTTTTTGCAACCTTTTCTGAAAATAAGGTGGCTTGCCAATCGGGCGTGGTCACCAGTGGAGGCCGTGATACATCGGAACCGAAGCACGTGGGGATTGGGACAAATCCTCGGAGCCGTTTCGGCACCGATGGATCGACAGGCAAATGCGGGTGAGAACGATGTTACCAGCACGGGGAATTATTGTTGTCACCCTTCATGAACCCAACGGCTTCACGAAATTTTCAAAAAACAGCTCCAACCGTCACCATATCCATCGCTGTACCTGGTTTTGATTGCTGAGGTTCATAGCTCCACATTCCATCTGCCGAGGCAATACGACGTGGGGCTCAGATTGGGCACGATATTGCCTTTCTTTCAGTCGATGGGTACTTGTCTGTACAAGCATTTCTCACATGATCCCAGCCTCGCGAGTTGGAGATGATGCTGTCGAACGGATGTATGGTGGAGTATCACAAGGTTTCGACCAAATGGTATCTGGGTCAGCTTGGCCATGTGCTTGATAGCAACCTCGTTGATTATTGCAGTCTATGACGGAGAAGTGAATCACATTCCCTTGATGTCACCAGGTAAAGTCTCTGATTCGGTAGATGGTTCCGAGTCATCATCTACGATCATGAAAATCTGCGAGTCCACACCCTACAATTCTGATGTATCTCCAATAATCCGTTCATCTTCGATTCCGCAGAATCTTCATCTGGGTGCACGCATATTCGTCGACATGAACGCTTGTTTTCGATCTATAGCACGTAACACCGACGTTTAGAGCCCTCACTAACTTTCTCAGAAGATCTGGTTTAACGCCCACAAACCCAAGTGCACGTAATCGCTCGGTTTCATGAATCCACATCAAATATCGATATACCAGGTTTGTCTAGCGTATTTTGTGCAAGGCCTTGACTGAGACAATTTTGGTACCCTTCTGCACATGAAGAGGATCTTGATATGAATATGACATCTACAGGCTCTTTCACGTGTACGCGTGAACTTTCACATTCGAATATCAGATCAGTTGCATCTCTGTCCTTGTTTCCACAATGAGCTTGGCAAGGTTGCGACCTCTTTCCCGGACAGGTGGCAGACATCCTTCGCTGCCCTTCCGAACTGTGCATCATCAATCTGCACAGTTCCAAGTTTCAGTGGCTAAAGTGATGTGGATAGATCAGATCGCCATTACTGTATGCTTCTGGCAAAGGTAGCGGCGTTCCGGACAGACACGTAGAGATATCGATAATCTTCATCAGTCCAAATTGCTTCTCTCTGAAGGAAGTGTTGAGCTCATGCAGGAGCTATTCAACCAGGACCATCCCTATACTTCAAGGTTTCTATTAACTCCGTGGCCAGGTAGTGAGCTCACTTCTCACGCATCATGCAACAACCCAGGCATTGCTTGTACTTTACAACACACACTAAGGAGATGATTTTAATTTCGGCAAACGATTATTGCAGACATAAGATTGTCGTCGCAGAGAATCAGGTTTGCAATGTTCATTTCGATCAAAAAGTATTCACAGGATTGACCTGAGGTCATGAGGTTCTTCTGAGACACACTTAACCCTAAACATTAAGTGAACCAGAAGTCACCAGGGTGCATGTCTTGCTGGTATTCACACGCAACCAGCTAATTGTGACTTTCCTGGGAAGACTTCTACTGATTCCCGCAAGCCTTCCCCTTCTTTCCCTATTTAGAGTATAATTTTCTATTACTCTAATTATTTCATATATGCCGAATCAATTACGTCAAATGATTTATGAACAAGGTGTCGATCTGGATGCCAATCCTTGGATAGCTGCTTTGTGGTGAGTGGGGCCAAGTTCCTGCTATAATGTTGGAAGTTGTTGTTGCACAACGTTCTTCGAGTTCTCATTTCTGCAACTCCCTGCAATCCCCATGCGAGCCAATGCTCATCGAATCATGGAATCTGCAAAGAGGGATATCCGTCTCATCGCAGAGGTTGCCCACAAGAGCAACAAGCTCATGTTATATTCTAATGCAGTTTCACGTGCATGCTGCCGAGGTTGAGACTGGAAACGCACTCTAGGGAGATGCTTTCATACCAATTCAAGATCTTGAGAGAAAACAATTACGGTAGCTGCAGATGTGGGTTACTTCAGAGTCATAACATGTCTGCTGCCAATTTGTATTTTAGAAACCCTTTCGACGAATATGGATTGGTGTGATTCCGCTGCTGTTAGTAAAATCTGCTAAGTATATGATATTTTGATATAGACGAAGCAGGCCAAGGTATTGAGTAATGTTTATTGTTGATGTTTCGTCCTCATGATCCGAACAGTCTGTGGGTGAGATGAATTCGACTTCTTTATCCACTCGCTCCGAATGCCTGATCTAGTGTCCCTCTCAAACCTTAGACCCGCACCCCAAGGCTGATTTTAATCACAGTGTATGTTAGCTCCATCAACAATGGTGAGGAGAACAGCGTTGTTGCTTGTTTTCCTGACGTTCTTCAACAACGGGCACGCTGCTAGTGATGAAGATTTCAGTGTAGGTTACATGAATCTGCTCCCTTCGTGCATGTTTCTGTCGAAGTTCCAACGGTTCAAAAAGTCCAGACTGATGGGATTCATCGTGTGAAATCCCCAATTCTTGAGCATGTCTGGAAGTGTTCCCTTGTAAAACTGGAGAACAATTCGTATTACCCATCTCTGACTCTGACGGGAAGTGCAATATGTCGGTGAACAATTTATTTGAGATGAGCTGGAATACTGACAACTGTAAATGATAGCCATCATAAATTTGAATAACTGGGAGTACAAAGATGGTGTTATTTTGCCTACACGTGAGTACTATCAAAACTCACCTGTGTCAGTCTTTCTATTCAATTGACTCAATGTACAGAATTTAGCGATTTTGTCGCCGACAGACAACCCAGACAATATGCTAAAACTTCGTGGCGAGGGGGGGCTAGGAACTCCCTGTTTTTCAGACTCCGCATGTGCTTCCGGATTGTATTGCTTTGCGTGTCCTGCAGCAGGGGCTAGTGGGTTTCAACCCAAGTGCACTCGCTGCAGGATCACTCCAACCTCTGCATTTCCCAAGGTAGTCAATCTTGCGCCTCCTTTCATACCCAGTCCAAATTGTCAAATCCGCCATCACCTTTCATGAGACATTCCATATAGCTGTGATTCACCCGTGGCAACTGCGAACTTATGCTTACTATAGTGAAACTCTGCAGACTTTTATTCAGCGCATCACGAAACTTGCAATTTATGAGCTACAATGCCATCTCTGCTAGTTATTCTCTCCAATTGCGCTCTCGACTTTGCGGTGAATGAGGTCGAAGTGAGTTAGTCATGTATTTATTGTGAAGTTGGAACTATGTCATGCAGAATACTTCGCTACCTTTTAACAAGTACGCATGGCTCACGACTCATAACTCCTTTGCGATTTTCGGTTCTCCTTCAGAATCTGGAGTTCCGATCATTACTTTCTTCAACCAAGAAGACAGCGTGCTGGAGCAACTCAATGTAAAACCCATACCTATTTTGTTGGGGAAACCTTTTGGAAAAATTGAAGGATGCATAAGACTTGATTGGAGGCTCTGTTCAGTTTTCTCACTTGGAGATTGCCATGCTGACATATCGTTGAATACTGTTGATTCCACTGCTCTTTTGATTGGAGACTTACAATGTCTGCAGAATGGAGTGCGAGGATTGATGTTGGACATGTACGATTTCCGGAACGATATCTGGCTCTGCCATTCTTTTCGAGGCGTTTGCTACGACTTCACCGCATTTGTAAGCATCGGAATCCATTCAGAGACTCTAAGTAATGCTATGGACTAATAAAGACGTCCGATCCAAGTCTTGACCCGGCAATGACGGTCCGATCAATCCATGTCTGTGCAGAGACCAGCATCCAAGACTTTAGCAGAGATCAAGACCTTTCTGGACTCAAACCCCACGGAGGTGATCACCATCTTCATAGAAGACTATGTAACCTCCCCAAATGGACTAACGAGCTTGTTCTCCAAGGCTGGCCTCATGAAATATTGGATGCCAGTGGCAGCAATGCCTTCGTATGGAAGGCTATGGCCTACCCTTCAGACGATGATCCAACGCAACCACCGCTTGCTCGTCTTCACACAAAACTCCACCAAAGAAGCAACTGAAGGAGTTGCGTTTCAGTGGCGCTACACGACTGAAAACCAATGTATGATCTCAAACGATTCAAACCTCATGTATGGCTGATTCCTGGTGGCTAGATATGCGATTATTACCAGGAAAATTATAGGAACTGAGTGATAATTGCACTTTGCAGATGGAGATGATGGCATGAACAATAGCTCC